CCAAATACACCAAATAATGATCTTTAAAATAGCATCATATGACCCCTTTAAAACACCAGCTCTGTCATATTCTGTGATTGTCTCTGAAGAGCGCGAGCCCTCACACGTCACACGCGCTGTGTGAAGTACAGACTGAACGGATTGTCAACACATCCCACCGCTGTATGGCCAGATGAGACGCAAAATACGGTTTCTCAACTTTATAACCAGTCTCGCTAGTAAAGATTTGATGGATGAAGACTGCAATCAAGGTAAAGATGATTGGCGTACAGGAGTCGTACAGTACAGTAAGCACGCGTGAGTCCGTTATAATAATGCGTGTATGAGTGCTCTGACGCACTGATCACACATTGCATTTATGCACAGGCACAGACATTTCCGTACGTTCATGATAATGTTTTGATTTGTCATGTTTATGTTGCTGTGTTTAGTTATACTGAATGGATCCGTGTACTGTAGTAGATATATGCAGTCAGCAGGCGATTGGTTTAGTTTTTTTTTTGGCATCTCCATGTGGTCCTGTTCGGTATCGCAACTTGGCTTCTTTAAATGTAAAAAAAGCTCTTTGCTGTTGCACTGTACACATACTATAAAATTCTGATATTTTTTTTCTTTCATATGTGCTTATATGGGCTCCTTATATCATTTGGTTCTTTGGTGTCCTTTTTGGAGTTTCTAAGTGTCCTTTTTTGGAAAGACATCTAAATTTATCTTGAAAAAAGCTTGCAGAAAATATAGATTTTTGAGAATCACCCTTCAATCGGACAACTTCTTTATGTTTACAGACGCAACGGCATGACGCAGCAGCATGCTCGAACCTACCCGTACCACTCAAATTAGAAAACATTATTATAAGCTAACCGTTGTGAATCGGGCTAAAGGCGATAGTTTTGAACACTGGCTGGTCATGTACTTTCTCAAATATTGATTTCGGATCATTTTTTAACCAAAAAAAAAAAGTTACAGACTGCAGCTTGTTTTGGTTACCTGGAAGTGGAGAGATAGAAACCTCTCAGGTTTCAACAAAAATATCTTCATTTATGTAATGAAAGAGTAACCAAAGTCTCACAAGTTTTAGTAAATGAGAATTTACACAATTTTCACTTTTGGGTGAACTAAGACGACACTCAGTTTGGCTTTTTTAATGCTCTTCGTGGTGTAATCGCATACTTAATACTTGTGCAACATTAAAACACTCGCTGAAATGTGTCAAAACAGACGGGTATATCTCGTTCAACTGGGTATTAACGTTTTATTACTGAAAATGATAAGACAGTGTTGATGACAATACTGTACCATTCTCCTTGTTTTAAAAGTACTGATGATCCGAGGGATTGACTGGTAAACAAGAGGAGAAAAAACAATGGAGCAGGCTTGCCTCTTGCCACTGGATATGACCTTAATTTCACCATGTTCCTGTCGCACATCCAAAATGCACAAAAACACAGTGCAGGCAACGATGATGAGAGAACGCCTGAATATGGACTTTTTAAAAGATGGAGTAAGAGATCGGGTGGATGAAAAGACCAAAGACATCAATACAATTACAAATCAAAGTGTCCGAACATTGCATCAATCCTGCTGTGCAGTTGGCAGAGGGAGGGTGCACTTGTTTAAAAAAGGGCATAACTCATACAGCTCACACTAACGCTCTATTCTAAATAACACCACTAAGGATGACTCCAGCAGTGTTAGGTTTTCTGGGTTTTAATTTTTTTTACTGTAAGATAACTAAATGTTCCACTCCTCGTGTTAAAATTATTTCAATATTTTTTCTTTCTTTTCCTTTTTTTAAATGGTAAAGTACACAAGCTGAGACCTGAAAATAGCAGGGTGTTGCCGCGGTGGGACCATAGTTATCCGATCTCTCTCACTCTGCCAGCTTTCAACCAAGAACAAATATATCTTATATGCAAGTTTACTGATAATAACATTAATTATGTCGTCATCATTTTCCTCATGCCTTGTAAATTAGGAAACAAACAATCAGAGCCTGCTGCACCCCCCACCCCCCACCCAACACCTCATCCCCTCCCCCAAAATAAAAAAGACAAAAGGAAAAAATAAAATAAAAACCATAATGATTGGGGATTTTATCTGACTTTTAAGAACCCCTCTTCCTTATGTATCTTTAGGCCCAGTTTAGGCCCAGCTGAAGAGGATCCAGTCTTGTCAGAGAGCCAGGATGGGTCTGGCCATGTGGAGGCTCAGTTCATCAGGCCATGGTTTCAAAGCTGGCCCCAGTTTTTTTGGGGAGTCTGGGATGGACTGGGATGATGTGGGCCTCTTTCACGTGGTCATTTAAAGGGATGATTCTCCAAGGGTTAGTGCAGGTAATCATCCACTGATGCGAAGGCGCAGGATCCGCTGCCTGTGCGAGCCATGAGGGACAGACACTGAGCTGCCTGGCCGACGGCGAGCGCCAAGGGAGGCTGCTTTGGCAGGTTATGGGTCTCTGCATGAGAGAAAAAGGTAACATTAAATGCTAAATGCCTATGTTGAATTGTTAGATTCAAGAGTAAGCTCTAATAAACAGCAATACACACCACCATTCAAATATTTTTTTTAAGAAATTTATGCTTTTATTTACCAAAGACGCATTAAATTGATTAAAAGGGACAGTTAAGAATTTCATAATGTTACAAAACCATCCTATTTTAAATACACGCAGTTCCTTTGAACTTTCTATTCCTTAAAGTATCCTGAAAAATATTGTATCAGTGTTTCCACAAAGATATTAACCACCACAACTGATTTCAACATTGATAATAATAAGAGATGTTTCTTGAGCAGCAAATTAGCATATTAGAATGATATCTGAAGGATCATGTGACACTGAAGACTGGAGTAATGATGCTGTAAATTCAGCTTTGCCATCATAGGAATAAATTACATTTTGAAATATATTCAAATATGAAATGGTTATTTTAAATCATAATAATTTTTCACAATATTAGTGTTTCGACTATTTTGAATGCTAGCGTTAACACCATATAAATATAATCTAATACACAAATGACATCATAGTGTGGACAGTGTAGACAGTTCTGAAGCTGCATTGACCAGCAAAAAACATGAGTGATCAACAAACAAATTTGATATATTATCCTGTTGTTCCTGACAATAAGCATCTAGCTTAGTTTCAGGAAAAGAAGCCTTTTTGGGCTCAAATACACTGGATGCAGTTTTGAGCATGTTATCAATATTATATGGAGACTGACGGAGAGATGAGAAAAGAGAGATGAGAAGAGAAAAATTAAAACAATTTATTCATAAATAATGTGTATGGATTGTAAAATTTGCATATTAATTTGCAATTACATTGTAATATTTGCAAAATATTAAAACAGTCTGTGCATGTGTTATGTGACAGGATCCTTCTATAGACCTACAAAAGGGCTGATGAGGGATCTGCAGCACCATGATTTATCCGAAAATCTGTTTATCTGTTTTTAAAAAAAATCTGAATACAGCATTATGTTGCTCACTTAGGCTTTTTTGCTCACTTTTCTTAATTCTGAAAGCAACAAAGGGATCACTGTGGTGACTAAGTTGTTCTGATTTGATCAAAGGTGGTACTTGGCCTGAAAAGATTGAGAACAAATGTTCTAATATATGAAAACTAATGCGGTACCTACCTAATATTGCACTGTTGAGTGTTGAGCAGACAGGCTCTCTCTGGATGGAGTCGAGCTGGTAGCCCACAGGGCTGTTCCATGGATCTGAATATGCCAGCAAACTGAATGCATCCTGCAAGAACAGAGACAGTAAGAGGTTTTAGGATAAAACATGTATACATATATACATCTCCATGCTTACTGGCCATTACCACCATAACCAAAATACATTTTATACTA